AAGCTTGCGCGTTGGACGCCGGGAAGTCGAAATCAACGATGAGCACGAGGCGTCAAGTGCGCTGATATTCGGATTAGCTTACGTTCACACGAAGTAAAGCTCAATATAGATGATATTCAAAGAATCGTAAAAAGGTCATTATTCCTTACATGCTATGTAGATTTATACTTGTTAGATACTTGTACAGAACAGTGGAGAAATTGATAGAAGATTCTATCAATTGCACAGGTCAGAGATGACTCGGAGTGATGAGCTCGACGACTTACTCTGCATTTAGTGTTAGATCCATCACAAAATGGAATGGATGGAGTGAATCAACTGGATAGAATAGATGGAGTGGATGCATGGAACAGATGAAACGGATGGAGTGGATGGATTAGATGGAATAGATGGAGTGGATGCATGGAACAGATCAATTGGATGGAATGGATGGAGTGGATGCATAGAATGGATGGAATGGATCGATTGGATACATGGAACAGATCAATTGGATGGCATGGATGGAGTGGACGGAGTGCATGGATTAATTGGATGGAACGGACGGAGTGCATGGATTAACTGGATGGAACAGATGGAGTGCATGGATTAATTGGATGGAATGGACAGAGTAGATGGATGGAATGAATCAGTTGGATGGAACAGATGGAGTGGATGGATGGAATGGATGGAATGGACGGAGTGCATGGATTAACTAGATGGAACGGACGGAGTGCATGGATTAATTGGATGGAACGGATGGAGTGGATGGATGGATGGATGGAATTGGGTTGGATTGAACAGATAGAGTGGATGGATGGAATGGATGGAACGGACAGAGTGCATGGATTAATTGGATGGAACAGATGGAGTGCATGGATTAATTGGATGGAACGGACGGAGTGGATGGATGGATGGAATGGATGGAACGGACGGAGTGCATGGATTAATTGGATGGAACGGACATAGTGCATGCATTAATTGGATGGAACAGACAGAGTGGATAGATAGAATAGATGGAGTGGATGGATGGAATGAATTGGTTGGATGGATGGATGGAATGGACGGAGTGGATGGATGGAATGAATCGGTTGGATGGAACGGATGGAGTGGATGGATTAATTAAATGAACCGGACGGAGTGGATGGATGGATGGATGGAACAGATGGCTTGATTGGATAGAACAGATGAGATGGATGGAGTGGATGCATAGAATGGATGGAATGGATCAATTGGATAGAACAGATGGACTGATTGGATAGAACAGGTGGAATGGATTGAGTGAACAAATGGAACAGATCACTTGGATAGACCAGATGGAGTGGATGCATTGCCTTGGTTTGCATAAGTTTTTAGTAAGTAGTGCCAACTTATGGAGACTTACACTATGTACAAATTCTTTACTTAAAAGTTAATAAACTTACAAAGAATTTAGGAGATACCATTTGCCTATAAGTCTCTAATTGTCTATCAACAAACTCATTCAATAAGTTTATCCAAATGCATTAAACTTACAGTAATATTACACCCTGCCCAGGAAATAGAAATCCTTCATTATAAATTTTGTATAATGCAAAAAAATTATGCTAAATCTTTCTCAAATCCAATAAGTTGGAAATATAATCATATATTGATCAAAAGTTATGACTTTTCTTACTTTCCAAGCAAGGAATCCTCCAAAAGTGTTCTCCAGGTGTGTTCTGTATAAATTTGCTATAAGTTTCTGATTCTTTTGATTCAATATTAATAGAAAGTTGCATGTAATTTATCAAGCTTTCAGAGATCTTATTAAAAGCCAACAAAAAAATATATGTCTGAAAACTTACAATATATTTATTGCAAACTTGATCTTAAATTTTTTGCCCATAAGTTTGTGTTAATTTATTTAGGATCTTTTTTACAAATTTTCAAAAGAATATCTGTAAGTAATTTGACTTACAAAGAAATTTCAGAAAAAGATCAGTGGATCATAAGATTACTCAAAGTCACTGTGATTGATGAGATTTTCTGCTTAGTGTTTTGTCTGGATATCCAAAAAATTGCCTGTAAGTAATACTACTTACAGCAATCTTATAAGATGCAGAAAAAAAAATATGCCCTTGTGTAAATTTCATGTAAGAGTTGAAACTTATTGTAAACTTCTCAATGTTTGTGGAAATTATAAGTCCCCCATAATATTCCTGAAAGTAACCACATTGTAGGTTATATATTGCAGAAAACTTATAATAAACTTCAAACAAATGTTTCCAGTCACAAGTCACATCAAAAGTTCTCTGAAAATCCATGATTTTCCTTCCAACATAGTGTTACAAGTAGCCTTATAATTTCAGCATAAGTTTATTACTATTTAAATTGCAATTTCATGGAAAGTTGACCTGAAGTTATCAGACTTATGGTGAACTTCAAGCAAATCTCATAAGTGAGAAGTTGTTTTGTAAGTTCATTAAAGGTTCTTCATTTTTCTTAGAACATAATGCCACAATTAGTCCTGTCATTTAACCATAAGTTTATCATTATTTCAATTAAAATTCAAAAGAAAGTTGACTCGAAATTATCAAGCTTGTGTAAAGCCAATAGGCAGGTATCATTACTTGTCAGTCTGCAAACTTACAGTATATTTATGCCAAACTTGATGTTAATTTTTTGGCTATGTGTTTAGTCGGAAATTTACTTTATCTTTGTTTGAAAACATTCAGTAAGTTGACTGTAAACAATGCTACTTACAGCAATTTTATAGAATGCAAAAAAAGAGAAAAAATCCTTATGCAAGTTCCATGTAAGAGGCAAAACTTATTGTAAACATTTGAAAGTTTTTGGAAATGATAAGTTCCCTGTAATATTCCTCAAAGTCACCAGAATTATGGATTATATATTGCAGAAAACTTATGGTGAATTTTAAACAAATCTTTTGAGTGACAAGCTATATTGAATGTTCATTGAAAGTCCTTGGTTTTCCTTACAACATAGTGTTACAAGTAGTTCTGTAATTTAATCATAATTTTATTATAATTTTAATTGAAAGTTCATAGAAAGTCGACCTGAAATTATCAAGCTTATGCAAAGCCAATGGGAAAATATCATTACCTGTCAGTCTGCAAACTTACAATATATTTCATAGTAAATTTGATGTTAGTTTTTTAAGCTAAATGTTTATGGGAAATTTACTATATCTTTTGCTAAAAATATTCAAAAAGTTGACTGTAAGTATTGCTACTTACAGCAATCTTATAGGATGCAAAAAAAAAAATATGCCCTTATGTAAATTCAATGTAAGAGTCAAAACTTATTGTAAACTTTTGAAAGTTTTCGGAAATTATAAGTTTATGGTAATATTGCTAAAAGTCACGTGATTTATGAGCTTTTCCGCCCAGTGATACATATGATGATACAAGTGCTTTGCTAGTTCTTTGCATGTTTATTCTCGCCATTTGTTCATGTTTATCTGTCTGTTTCCCAGAACAAGGAAACTGGCAAAAATATTTTGAAAGCCTGGGAGAAATCCAATGCATCATGATGTGCAAAGCTTTTCGCAAATTACTGTAGACAGCCCATGTCTTTGAGTCGGTCAGTCAGACTTCGACGGCCTGAATTGCTACACTGGTTGATTGAATTAGACTTGGTCTATTCAGATAACGAATCGACCGAGTCGGGTTCTTTAGGGCTGGACACAGTGCGACTTTCGAGCAAATGGAGGAAATCAGAAAGACACACGGAAAGGTTATATCAATTTAAGCGCTAAGGACTTACTCTTCTCGTGAAGCCTGCGTGAAGCTCATGCTCATGTGGAGGACCTTGACAAGGGTAACCTTTTCCTTTGCCAAAGGCTAAAACAACCCTGAGGCTCAAACATGTGTCAAGCCCGAAACAAGCCTCAGGCCTCAACCTTCAACAGGTAGTACCTGAATATACCTACACAGAGTATGTGTTAATTTGTGAAGGTGAAGCTAACTCAGCACATATGATGAGAAAATGTATGAATTTCGGACATATTGAAACCAATCCTATCGATGAAACCAGCCAATCAATGAGCAGAACAAACTGAAGCGACATACTTGTGTACCTACCTGGTCCTAGCCAAATTTAGTCGGAAAGCTACATGAACAGATGATCTGACAATCTTCCGATCAGTCGGAGAGACAAAGATGCTTAAAGTAGAGAGGAAATAAATGCCGAAGAAGGTAATACCTACTTACGGGAAAGACTGTTGCAGAACGTCGCCGCAGTCGGAAGGGAAATTCACCGAAAATGACCATTAAGAACACGTTCTTGGACTGTTTTTGCGGAGTGGTGAGGAGCTCATCTATACACAATTTGACTGGTACCTGGTGAGTGAGACATTAAATGGCGGTGACTGGTATCAATACACGAGGCAGGAGGCTCCAGCGCTCCAGGATTCACGTGGGGTATAGAAAAGTACAGCATCTGAGTCACATACCTCGCTACCGCGTCTTGTACTTGGATATAGCGCGTACCTTGTCCGAAAAAGACTTCAATATCCATACTAAATTGACTGACGAGGTAGCGAATGGATTGAACTTCAGCACGGCACATCTTGTTCGTTGAAGGTAATGCAATTCGCAGTGCGCAATATGGGCATAGGGACGACAAATTTCGGTGGATAAGAATTTGGTTAACCAGTCAATCACAGACGAAGCCACGTTCAGCCACGTCAGCAATATATAAGAGAAATATGACTTTGTGCATAGGTCAGTATGAACGATATACGGTGCGGATGAAGGTTTGCTTGTAACTCACAACAAATGCGTAGATCCGTTCCGACGCGATAGGAAATCATGAAGGTCCTTCGTTTCGAGAGATTGAGTGTTCATCCACCAGGCACGATTGAATGCTCTTCATCTGGTTGTACAGCGAGGAACAGAAACTTGGACGGTAAAGTCAAGAATCTTTGCAAATGTATGTTTAGAGATGAATTTCTTGAGATAATTCCGCAGTCGTGGGCATGTCAACGATAAGTGAGTTGGCAAGTTTAATGAACCGCCAGCCCAGTGACTCTGAGGAGCGCTATTGAAGTCTAGGTTGAAGCTTCGAAGGTCGGTCAAAATAAATGCAGCACGTGCTAATTTATCAATTTTCTCACCAGCCGGGAATACGCGTTTCTTTTCACCCTGACGATCACAGCTTTTTTCTTTTCTTCCTAAGCTTCGTCTCGACGGTCTACATATTTACCGACTAAATTAAGGACTACCATAGATCCACCTCCCGATACTGAAGATCCGCTTCAAAAGGAAGTCATGCTCAATCCCGGCCGTATATAAGAACGAACAACGAACATGCGAGCTGAACTCGCAATTTCTGTTACATTGGCCTTCGGACTGGCTGTGTTTTCTTTTGCTGCTGTAATTTTAACTCCCGCGCTGTATCTTCATGATTTCCAATAACGCGCAGAGACAACACACCCCGCCTGGTGCTGGCACCTCGAAGCCATTGAAGAGAGGAAAGGCTTGCTTGACATGCAGGCGCGTTTTTTCCTATTGACGATCTCACACAAATTCAACCTCTATCTACAGGTTCCTTAAGATTGTACGCTTCCTTCGCTGATGGTTGCACTTTTCCTGAACAAATTATCCTCAGAGGTGCGATGGTACTCGACCAATATGTGGCCCCTGTCAACGTACTCCGAAAGACGATCCTTGCGAATATGCTGACGGCCCGGGAAGGTCAAGAACTCGAACGCTTGAAGAGACGGTTTCGCGATTAGAGGCTCGTCTCCGAGAATATGAACATCCCGAAGAGACACCACCGATGGCGCTTCATAATCCATACGAGCACGGTCAAAGTCATGAAAGCGGTACATCCATTCAGATAAAGATTGACGCACCATCCTCTTCGTATTCCACTCATAGTTCTCCGTCATCCCCGTTTTCCGTAATGTCTCCTTCGGCAAACATCCCTAGTCCTCATCCTGGTATGGTCTTGTCTTCTTATACTGAATTGCACAACTCATAACTTTGATTAGGTGGATCATCTGGATCATCGGATAGAAAAAATTCTGCCTCACCTGCCACCGAGCCAGGGATTGCTCTACCTGCAACTAGACATCTGTACGTTACAGTCTCTTATTCTATTCATGCTCTACTAAGTCTGTGGCAGCCTCGAATGGTTTTTTACACATGCATCATCCTTCGGGTTTTTCCTCAATGTTTCGCGTTTCACAAATTCAGCTCTTCTCCCTTTACATTTCGGGCACCAATCCAGGCCATGTCGGGGTCTTTTGAGTACCGTGTATCTATGGGGCATCCACCTGTCGCCGCAAACTCAGCATAAGGATCTCGAACACACATTGCTTATGCGAGCCCTTCGAGATACAGCCTCGGATTTGAGCACATCTGACCCACATCCACATCGATTCATGCATACTATCCAAGCCGAGACCTTGCTCGGGTACTATTTTTTCCGTAACGGTAACATTCTCGAAGCCAAACGTCATACCTCTAGTGCTGCATCGCTTGCTCTAGGCTGTAGGCTGAACATTCTTCGGTCTTCTCAGCAACAGCAGTGGAGCTCAAATCCGATCTTGGCGTCTGCCCCAGTAGTCCTGGGTGGGTCGATCAGTCTTCCTCCCCCGCAAGATCCAATTGAGGAAGGTGAACGCATTAACGCGTTTTGGGCCGTGTTCACGCTCTATCGAGATGTTGCCGTCGCAGTGGACCCTCCTAGGTCTGTGTGCGGTGTATTTGATGCTCCCGGATGCCAGATCGATACGCCATGGCCGTTAGACATGGATATGTATAAAAAGGTGTGTTCCGTTTCAAACATCTTTCATCCGCGCTTGGAGTAAGCTCAGCGTCAGTTCCTGTTTATGCACAGAACATCCTGCCACCTCGTAGCTCTTCAACAGTTTATGAATTCCTCAACCATATCCAACAGAGGGAGGACGAACATCAGCTTGCAAGTACGACGAACATGATCACGAAAGCATCTTTGCTTCTCCATCAAGCTTCGTTCGTCGCTGGGCAGTATTATCCAAGTACGTTGTTTTCAGCCAATTTCTTCGTTCTATTTGTTTAGATCTTATACTACTTCGTTCGCCGTAGACATGCCCGCGCGCGATGCCCAAACCCTTTTTGCGGCGTTCCAATCCGTACAGTACTTGATTAATTCCCTGCGTTCCCAACTATCTCCGCTGGAAGAACTTGACCGTCAAAGTCGAAATCTGTCAGCACTCCGAGAAATACATCTCGCTCACTCCCTGATACACGGGTCAATCATACGCTTGAATGAGACGTTCTCACATTCGGATGCGGATTGCCGCCAGAGCTGCATAAAGAGTGCGCAGGCCATGGTTCACGGAGGTGGATTGAATGTAGCCGAATTCGGATGCGTGAATCCTATAATGGGGGTCCGTCTGTTTCATCTCTTTCTTCCTACGCCTTTCACGTTCTATGACGAACTTTTATGCTGATGTTCTTCCCGTAGACGCTCTGGGCTTTGGCTTGTCAAACACTCATTCGGGAAGTTGTCCGTATACGTTCTATACCCTCCGGACAAACGCCAGAATTATGGTCATCTTCGTCTCAGTCGTCAGATCCAAGTTCAATCTCCCCATCTCACGATCACCATCAGCACCACTTGTACGCAGGATCGGAGTTCGATAGCAAAGAAGACTTACGCCCAAGACGCGAAGACTCCCTCTTAGCTTCCCTCCGACAAGGCATTTCGGCCCTCACGTTCTTCTCTGTCAACAGTGCTCTTATGAGTAAGTCTTTTTTGTCTACGCCCTTGTTAAATTTTAGGTGGGTTCCAATGCTCATGTTTTCATGTGGGATTCTAGAGTATCAACTCACGAGCGTTCAAGGTCTCTTTTCTGTGATTGGGTTATGAATATCAGAAACTTCGAAGAGGGTGTCATCCTTGAAGCAAAGGACACAACGGACACTGGTGATGAGTCCATTATAGGTTCAAAAAGCTGGTACGATCCTCCTCCTCCTTGGGAATACAAGGAACCAGTTTCCTTGCCCTATCCGGTGCCCGTATCGATATCAAGTCTTGCTGCTGATGAAGGCGACATCTCCAGTGCCTGGCGTATTGCGGATCATTACCACTACAGCGATCTGTCCGGTTCTGTATCCAATCTTGGGCCAAAACAATCGTGTGAACCTTGCATGAAAGATGCCATTCTGGTTCCGTTGATTTCGACTCTCCAAGCCTCGAAACAGGACGACGGCAGAGAGCCTGATTACAAATATACACCTCCGACAACGCCTGGTCTTTTCTCAATTCTTATACTCTCGGGCACCCCGGACTAGGACAATGTGCGGTTGTCGCTTGAATAGTGCTTTCACAGAATACCCTCGTTTTATTTGTTCTCCTTGCCGTCACCCCATAATGTACATCTCTACTCACCATAACTGACGAACTATTTCGTGCTATCTTATGAATCTTTGAACGCCATCGGTACTAGTACTAACGATAAAGATGATAACTTGTGTACATTACGCCTGTATACATAACATGTACTTTACTGGAACTCTCTAACTACAACTAAATATCTTACTACATCCCATCCTGAAATGTATTGATTACTTTCCATGACTCTCCTCCTGGTCCTTGCGTCGCACGGTAGGAAATGTGCGAAATGACTCCTTTCGTTGGAGTCATGTACATACGTTTCGAACGAAGTTCTTTGTGTAGCAAGGTGTAGCATATGTGTGGAATGACTCCTTTCGTTGGAGCCATGTATGTACATCTAGTACAAAATTCTTTGCGTGTTTTGCGGGGAACATAGGCCAGATACGATCACAAAATCGTGTGCTGTACCATCTCGGATGCAACGAACTACCGTCGTAGTCATATATATAGATCCAAGTTCATATGGACGCAACCAATGAAAAAAAAAATTTCCGCTTGAACCATCTTCACTGAAGGATGCACATATGTAAATGGAGTTTTATTGCAACAGGAGGAAGATCGACCGGTGAAAAGCTGTGAAAAGGTAGTGTTAAAGGTGCCTGATGTTCAATTCAATCAACAATCGGGACCGAGAACAAGTTCCGATTTGGTTCCGATAGTTTCTGATATAGCCTCCGGTTTACTCTGATCTATCTATTAAATATTTGCCGATCTACACTGCATGCAATGACTAATAAGTTTGCGCAGCTTAGCGAAAACTTATAAGATACTGTCGAAAAATGAAAGCCCGATAAGATTGCGGACTTATGAAAGAACTTATTGAAGATAAATGTGACAACCCTGTCACATAAGTTTTACATAAGAAACAATAACAAATGTGGAACTTATGGGATTTAAATGGAATTGTCGGAAACTATAAGTATTCAATAAGGTCACATACTTTTAGAACAATAGCACAAGACTTATAGGAAAAATTATCTGATGAAGTACTAGATAAGTATTTGATAGGTAGGGTTTTATATCTGAAACTTGCAGGATACTGATGTAGTACAGAAGAGGAACTTATGGAATACATATTGGGAACTTATGTGACAGGGTAACAAATAAGGCTCTCAAAATAAAATGATTTAGTTAAAAACTTATAGAATAATTATATGACATGAGGAGAGTGATGAAAGCATCACATGTTGGAGAATGTCCAAAGAGGTGTGAAGCATGCTCAAGTGTGTCGAAGCTCAGTTTGGATGTGTTGAAGCATTGCAGAAGGGTGCGAAGCATGCTCAAGTGTGTCGGAGCTTAGTTTGAATGTGTTGAAGCATGTCAGAAGGATGCAAAGCATGCTCAAGTTTGTCAAAGCTTAGGACTTGAGCATGAAGCATGCTCAAATGTGTCAAAGCTTAGTTTGGATGTTTCAAAGCATGTCAGATGTGTTGAAGCATGTCGGAGGGGTGCGAAGCATGCTCAAGTGTGTCGAAGCTCAGTCTGGATGTGTTGAAGCATTACGGAGGGGTGTGAAGCATGCTCAAGTGTGTTGAAGCTTAGTTTGGATGTGTTGAAGGATGTCGGAGGGGTGTGAAGCATGCTCAAGTGTGTCGAAGCTCAGTCTAGATGTGTTGAAGCATGTCGGAGGGGTGTGAAGCATGCTCAAGTGTGTCGAAGCTCAGTCTAGATGTGTTGAAGCATGTCGGAGGGGTGTGAAGCATGCTTAAGTGTGTCGAAGCTCAGTCTGGATGTGTTGAAGCATGTCGGAAGGGTGTGAAGCATGCTGAAGTGTGTCGAAGCTCAATCTGGATGTGTTGAAGCATGTCGGAGGGGTGTGAAGCATGCTGAAGTGTGTCGAAGCTCAGTCTGGATGTGTTGAAGCATGTCGGAAGGGTGCGAAGCATACTCAAGTGTGCCGAAGCTCAGTCTGGATGTGTTGAAGCATTATGGAGGGGTGTGAAGCATGCTCAAGTGTGTCGAAGCTCAGTCTAGATGTGTTGAAGCATGTCGGAGGGGTGTGAAGCATGCTTAAGTGTGTCGAAGCTCAGTCTGGATGTGTTGAAGCATGTCGGAAGGGTGTGAAGCATGCTCAAGTGTGTCGAAGCTCAGTCTGGATGTGTTGAAGCATGTCGGAGGGGTGTGATGCATGCTTAAGTGTGTCGAAGCTCAATCGACTTGAGCATGCTTTGTACCCTTCCGACATGCTTCAACATTCAAACTAAGCTCCGACACACTTGGGCATGCTTCGCACCCTTCTGACATACTTTGACACATCCCAACTGAGCTTCGACACACTTGAGCATGCTTCGCACCCCTCCGACATGCTTCAACACATCTAGACTGAGCTTCGACACACTTGAGCATGCTTCACACCCCTCCGACATCCTTCAACACATTCCAACTAAGCTTTGACATACTTGAGCATGCTTCGCACCCCTCCGTAATGCTTCAACACATCCAGATTGAGCTTCGACACACTTAAGCATGCATCACACCCCTCCGACATGCTTCAAAACATCCAGACTGAGCTTCGACACACTTGAGCATGCTTCACACCCCTCCGACATGCTTCAACACATCTAGACTGAGCTTCGACACACTTGAGCATGCTTCACACCCCTCCGACATGCTTCAACACATCTAGACTGAGCTTCGACACACTTGAGCATGCTTCGCACCCTTCCAACATACTTCAATACATTCCAACTAAGCTTTGACACACTTGAGCATGCTTCGCACTAAGCTTTGACACACTTGAGCATGCTTCGCACCCCTCCGACATGCTTCAACACATCTAGACTGAGCTTCGACACACTTGAGCATGCTTCACACCCTTCCGACATGCTTCAACACATCCAGACTGAGCTTCGACACACTTGAGCATGCTTCACACCCCTCCGACATGCTTCAACACATCTAGACTGAGCTTCGACACACTTGAGCATGCTTCACACCCCTCCGCAATGCTTCAACACATCCAGACTGAGCTTCGACACACTTCAGCATGCTTCACACCCTTCCGACATGCTTCAACACATCCAGACTGAGCTTCGACACACTTGAGCATGCTTCACACCCTCCGACATCCTTCAACACATCCAAACTAAGCTTCGACACACTTGAGCATGCTTCGCACCCCTCCGACATCCTTCAACACATCTAGACTGAGCTTCGACACACTTGAGCATGCTTCACACCCCTCCGACATCCTTCAACACATCCAAACTAAGCTTCGACACACTTGAGCATGCTTCACACCCTTTCGACATACTTCAATACATTCCAACTAAGCTTCGACACACTTGAGCATGCTTCGCACCCTTCCAACATACTTCAATACATTCCAACTAAGCTTCGACACACTTGAGCATGCTTCACACCCCTCCGACATCCTTCAACACATCTAGACTGAGCTTCGACACACTTGAGCATGCTTCACACCCTCCGACATCCTTCAACACATCCAAACTAAGCTTCGACACACTTGAGCATGCTTCGCACCCTTCCAACATACTTCAATACATTCCAACTAAGCTTTGACACACTTGAGCATGCTTCGCACTAAGCTTCGACACACTTCAGCATGCTTCACACCCCTCCGACATCCTTCAACACATCCAGACTGAGCTTCGACACACTTGAGCATGCTTCACACCCCTCCGACATGCTTCAACACATCTAGACTGAGCTTCGACACACTTGAGCATGCTTCACACCCTTCCGACATCTTCGACACACTTGAGCATGCTTCACACCCTTCCAACATACTTCAACACATCTACAGTGAGCTTCGACACACTTGAGCATGCTTCACACCCCTCCAACATCCTTCAACACATCCAAACTAAGCTTCGACACACTTGAGCATGCTTCACACCCCTCCGACATGGTTCAACACATTCAAACTAAGCTCCGACACACTTGGGCATGCTTCGCACCCTTCTGACATGCTTTGACACATCCCAACTGAGCTTCGACACACTTGAGCATGCTTCACACCCTTCCAACATGCTTTAACATATCCACACTAACCTTCGACATACTTGAGTATGCTTCGCACCCTTCCGACATGCTTCAACACATTCAACCTAAGCTTCAACATATCCAAACTAAGCTTTGACACACGTGAGCATGCTTCGCACCCTTCCGACATGCTTCAACACATTCAAACTAAGCTTAGACACACTTGAGCATGCTTCACACCCTTCCAACATGCTTCAACACAGCCAAACTAAGCTTTGACATACTTGAGCATGCTTTGCACCCTTCCAGCATGCTTCAACACATCCAAACTAAGCTTCAACATACTTGACCGTGCTTCACACCCTTCCGACATGCTTTAACATATCCAAACTAACCTTCGACATACTTGAGCATGCTTCACACCCTTCTGACATGCTTTAACACATCCAGACTAAGCTTCGACGTTCGACACACTTGAGCATGCTTCACATCCTTCTGACATGCTTTAACACATCCCAACTAAGCTTCGACACACTTCAGCAAACACACTTCAGCATGCTTCACACCCTACCGACATTCTTCCACACATCCAAACTAAGCTTCGACACACTTGAGCATGCTTCGCACCCTCCACACATTCAAACTAAGCTTCAACATACTTGAGCATGCTTCACACCCTTCCGACATTCTTCAACACATCCAAACTAAGCTTTGACATACTTGAGCATGTTTCGCATCCTTCCGACATGCTTCAACACATCCAGACTAAGCTTCAACACACTTGAGCATGCCTTGCATCCTTCCGACATGCTTCAACACATCCAAACTAAGCTTTGACACACTTGAGCATGCTTCACACCCTTCCAACATGCTTCAACACATCCAAACTAAGCTTTGACACACTTGAGCATGCTTCAAACCCTTCCGACATTCTTCAACACATCCAAACTAAGCTTTGACATACTTGGGCATGCTTCGCATCCTTCAGACATGTTTCAACACATTCAAACTAAGCTTTTACATACTTGAGCATGCTTCACACCCTACTGACATGCTTTAACATATCCAAACTAAGCTTTGACATACTTGAGCATACTTCGCACCCTTCCGACATGCTTCAACACATCCCAACTAAGCTTTGACATACTTGACCATGCTTCACACCCTTCCGACATGCTTCAACACATCCAGACTAAGCTTTGACACACTTCAGCATGCTTCACATCCTTCCAACATGCTTTAACATATTCAGACTGAGCTTTGACATACTTGAGCATGCAAAGCATCCTTCCGACATGCTTCAACACATCCAGACTTAGCTTTGACATGCAAGGGTACACTAGTAAAGTCTGTAGAAGTAAGTAACTCAGTTGGTATGAACACAACTGCATG